AAAACATCTTTGCTTGAAATATTTAATTTTTTTTTTCCTAGTTTGGCAACTTCCAATTTAATTATTTGGTGAGGTTAATCGATTTCAAATTTTAATAGCATAGATATTTTCCATTAAATTACGTTTATTTCGAATTTTGAACACTTCGTCGAAAATAGGCAGTTAATATAAACGCTTATAAAATTTTCATAGATGCAATCATCAAAATTGTTGCTTTTGTCTAATTTTTAATCCAGGCTATCCCAATTGTTTTTACAATTATTAAAAAACTTCTGCCGAATAAGTCTTCGCTTTGCCTCAATTTTCTTTTTTGAATTTCTCAAATTGTTAGTTGTATAGTTTTTCACTGTTACATAAATTTCCTAGGTCTAAAACACCGTAATTTATCAAATAAACTAACAAAAACCAGAAAAAAATTATTCATGTTAATTTTAGTTTAGATGGTCCGTTGTTTCTCATTCTACAATTGTTAAGAATTTTACATGACACAAAGAATTGCTCCAAAATATTGATCTATTCTATGACGAAAACAAAAATTTGTCGATCCTCTTTAGAAGTCTGCAGAGCTACGGATATTTTGAAATAGCGTCTACGGAATTCTACGGAATTTTGTATACCAATCTACGGAATTGGAAAAATTCGAGAGAAAACTCTCTGACGTATCACCATAATGACTTTGACCACAGAATACATTATATATATATATATATATATCTGGAAACATTGACTTACGGATGTGACATTGAGTGAAAAAAAATCGATTAAGAAAAAATCGATTTTATTAGAAGAAATAATCGATTTTTGCGGAAAAAATTCTTTTATTCGAAAAAATGCCTGCTTTCCCATATATTAATAAAACTACGATATTAGTATTGCAATGCAAACAATTTATCAGAATGTAAATCAAATAAAATGATAAGTATAAAAAATAATCAGAACGACAATCTTCTGGTTTCAAAACTATACCACAAAACAATTTTTTTAATCTATAACTTTTAACAATAAAAAACTAAAAATAATTACTGCTAGTATATACATCATTTAACAATTTATTAGTACTAAAATAAAAAGAAACGATAAGTTTAGTAAACGATAGTTTTTTTGAAGTAAGTTTGAACAACCAAAAAATCTAAATATCATTATTGCCACAAATGTTCAGTACCATTGACATTGGATTAGAATGAAAATAAAATAAAACTATAATTTGATTATTTAATCAAACCTTTTGGTCTCAAAACTAATATACAAAATAAATCTTTTTTTAAACTAAGTTTAAACAAAAATAACTATAAATAATTATTGCCACATGTTTAGTATCATTTACATTGGACTAGAATAAAAATAAAATAAAAATATATTTATAAATAATCAAACGACAACCTTATGGTCTCAAAACTAAAATACAAGACAAATATTTTTTTAAACTAGTATATACAAAAAAAATATTGCCATGAATTTTCAGTTAAAGAGTTTAAAATCAATAATTTTACCAACATTCTTCTTCGTCTGTTTTGTAAAACACATTTACGTTTTTTCCTGACAATATTTCCCGCTTTTGAAAATAATCTTTCGGCTGGCACGGAACTGGCCATAATAAAGACGTGTTTAAGAGCCAATTCGATTAGTTTACGGAAAGTTTCTTCAGAGCTCCATGTATTGAGGGCATCTGCCTTGAGATTTGATATCATTATCATTACAGCCCTTCACAAGTCCACTGCTGAACATAGGCCTCCCCCAAGGAGTGCTACAAAGCACGGTCCTGAGGCACCTGCATCCATCGACTTCCTGCATGTATTACCAGGTCGTTACTCCATCTAGTGGGGGGACGCCCTACACTTAATCCGCCGGTACGAGGCCGCCACTCGAGAACCTTTCTTCCCCATCGGTTGTCGGTTCTTCGAGCTATATGGCTGGCCCATTGCCACTTCAGCTTACTAATCCGTTGGGCTATGTCGGTCACTCTGGTTCTACTGCGGATATCCTCATTCCTAAGTTTATCACGCAAAGAAACTCCGAGCATAGCCCTCTCCATAGCTCGCTGAGTGACCTTGAGCTTCCTCATCCGGCCAGCAGTGAAGGACCGCGTTTCAGTTCCATAAGTCATCACTGGCAACACACACTGGTTGTACAGTCTCGTTTTTAAGCTTTGAGGTATACCTGACGAGAAGATGTGCCGTAAGAACGCCGCCCAGCCGAGTTGAATCCGTCGATTGACCTCTCGGCCGAATTTGGACTTACCTAGTCGTACTTTTTGTCCTAGGTAAACATACTCGTCAACAACTTCGAGCTTAGTGCTCCCAACAACTACCGGTATAGGTGTGACATGGATATTAAACATGATCTTTGTTTTGACCATGTTCATCTAAGACCTGTCCGTTGGGAGACACTATTGAGGTTATTGAGCATAGTGCTTAGGTCCTGCAGCGAATCTGCCATGAGGACTATATCGTCGGTAAATCGAAGGTGAGTGATGTACTCGCCATTGATGTTAATACCGTATCCTTTCTAGTCCAGAAGCTTGAAAAACGTCTTCCAATGCAGTGGTGAAGAGTTTCGGGGATATAACGTCACCCTGTCTTACTGTATGTATATATACTGTTCCCATCTCTGGGCAGGGGCTCCCCAGTGCCAGCTCCTTCCACTTGACCGCATCCAGCGCAGAGTGGCTCGAATCGTCGACGACCGAGCCCTTTCCGATCGACTTGATTCATTGGCACTGCGAAGAGATGTTGCATCCCTTTGCATTTTCTTCCGCATCTACCATGGGTAGTGCTCTGAGCCAAATTTCACGAACGCACATCGCGGCAGAACTCTCGATACCATCCACCCCATCTGGATGATTGGAGGTCCACCACTGTGTGATTTAGAAGATGTTTTCTTCCTCGCACGACTTCCTTGTGGAATCGATTACCATCAGCGATTTTTCCGGACCGATACGACCTAGGGACCTTCAAGAAAAGAGCATACTCCTTTTTAAAAGGCCGGCAATGCATCTACAATTCCCTCCCTGGTGTTGCAGTTGTTCATGGGCGGCGGTAGTCACTTACCATCAGGTGAGCCGCATGCTCGTTTGCCCCCTCTCCTATAAAAAAAAACCTCCCTGCAATTGGATAGGTTTCGTACTCTGGTTCTTTACTCGGATAGCCATCTTAGCCCTACTGTACAAGCACTTCAGCATTTCGATATATCTACAGTCAACGAATCGAATCAAAGGCTTTCTCATAGTCCACATACGCCAGACACAGTGGCAAATTGTACTCCTCGGACTTCTGTATAATTTGCCGAAGGGTATGTATGTGGTCTATGGTGCTAAAGCCCTTTTGGAAACCGGCTTGTTCGGGAGGCTGGAAGTCGTCAAGTCTGCGCGCGAGACGATTCGTAATGACTCGAAAACAGCATGTAGACGCGGCTCAAAAGGGAAATCGGTCTGTAGTTCTTCAAGAGAGCGTTGTCACCTTCCTTGAAAAGTAAGACCACGTTACTTCTGCTCCACGCCTCCGGTGTAATGCCACCATGGAGGACGGAATTAAAGAGCTTCTGTAGGACTTCAAGTACCGGTTTTCCAACCGCTTTCAGAACCTCCGCTATAATTCCATCCTCGCCTGAGACCTTGCGTTTTTAAGGTGCTGCAGAGCCATTCTAATCTCTCTCAGACTGACGTCCGGGATATCATCGGAAATTTGATAGTGATGTCGCAATATATAGGTCAAATTCAGTATTTTTGCCTATTGACGTGTTGGCCGCTATTATTTTTTCATTATAAAATATTTCCGTCAGCCACTTTTAGGCGTTTTACAACACATTTTTATTGTTTATCAATTATTTACACTCTCTAAATAAAGAAAGAAAACCACAGAATACTTTTACTCTTAGCGGAGAAAGAAAACTGTTGAAAACATACGAAAGGCGAAACTGTTTTATATACATAGAGATAGATACAGGTGCCACCGTTTTTTGATGACTTGTTCATGTTAGTGAACTTACTTCGCGTTTTTTCATCTGTCGCACAGATGACGCTGTTCTTTTGATCGACTTATTCATGACAACTGAAAGCAGTCGCGGAACCCACCTCGCAGACACCTTGTGGAAACCCAACTCGTTGACAATGATGTTTTGAGTTCGTTCATAAGAGATCTCTCTAATTTTTAATCTGCGGTCTCCCATTATTAAATCAAGTACTTTTTTAATATTTTCGTCAGTAGTTGACGTCGAAGGCCTTCCAGAGCGGGGTTCATCTTTCACACTCTCTCTACCACGCTTAAATTCTGCTATCCATTTTTTGACGGATGAATATGACAGAGCACAATCGCCTAATGTACTGACCATGTCATCATGGATGGCTTTTGATGATAGCCCCTTCTTATGGAGGTACTTAATGACGGCACGCTGCTTGATTTGCTCCATTCGCGGAAATTATGTCCGATTACTTTGTTAATAAATTTATAAAATCACAACTAATTATCGCACACGTTTCGAACTTCACACAATGAACTAGTCTGAACTGAACTAAATAATGTGGGTAGATTTGATTTTTAGAATTGAATGGATCTGTGTTAGGCCGAGTACTTTTCAATCCACCCTCGTAGCTTTATTAAAAATCGATTTTTATTATCCAAAAATGACTTTTAAAAATCGATTATAAGAAATATAATCGATTAATATGAAAACATTATTTTTTCACATCCCTACATTGACTTTGGTGGTATGCTTTGACGTTTAATAATTTTTAACGATGATGAAGTTTTTCAGTATTTTCTTCTAATTGAAGTTGAAGAATGTTATCATAATAGATAACGATTATGCTCAGCTATTTATTTATCTAGTATATGGACTTTTAAGTTCATTAGTATAGGATACGATGTTATTAGTACTGGATATCATGCTGCAATCTTCAGAGAACCGCGTTGTGTGTTGCTTTTGTTGTTAATTTTAATTATATATTATGAATGTTATGTAACGGGAATTTAGTGTTTTACAATCGGTGATATTGTATTAAGAAGATGAGGACGGTGGCATTAATTAGCGGCGGGAAGGACAGCTGCTATAACATGTTGCAGTGCGTCAGTGCCGGACATACAATCGTAGCACTGGCCAACCTCAAACCCCAAAATAAAGGTTATTTTCGTCATGTTAACTAATTTAGACACACCATAGGCGCGTATTATAATTTGTAGATAGATTTTCGCTAAAATCTGGATGTTTATAGTATTGTAAGTATTAAGTGCAAATTATGCAAAAACTATAAAATATGGCTAAAAATAACAGTCTTGTCTTGTTGTTTTTGCTTAGTCAACAATATTTTAATAAATTAAGATATTTTGCTTTATTTCAGTTATATAATATTTTTATATTTTAATGATGATTATTTGACTAAGGAAAAATAAAATATTTTTTTTATTTGTACTTCTCTTCATTAGCCTGCAAAGTCTAATATAATATAGGATATGAGCTTCCCTCTATGTAGAGAGGATTTGTCTTAATTGTCCTATATAATATGTTTTCATTGTTGTGATTGTCAAATGATAATGATGTGGTTTATACCAAAAAAAAAACTATAATAAAAACGTTTTGTGCCAATGACATGCCAAGACAGATATTGACAGTCCATAATCATCAATTATGTCTATAGACAAGCCTTTCCATAAATATGAACAGGCTATGAAACCAGCAACAGACTGAATTAATTGACATCTGTGGCGGCTGTATGAACAGTCCAGTATCGAGCCATCCTGGCTGTTTTAACTGTTGAGGGCATATGCCCTTTTAAAAGAAAAGCATGTCCAGCCTGATATGGTGTCAGGGAATGATAGTTGACACCAGTTGATATTGTTGGTTTAGAGTATACATAAGCAAGCTATAGTGTGCGTATAGCTCATTGCCTATTATGTAAAGCGTAAGCAGGTGTTCTATAGATACTGATATGTAGATGTAGTGATTGAATGGTGATGCACCATGATTGACACATATGTATTAAAATACTTAAGTTATTAGTTTAATAAGGTATGTAAGGTAGGTTTTAGCAGATCAATAAAATACAGGTATAAATTTATAAAACAATATTTGCTTTTTAAAATGTTACCTACTATTGAAAAGAAATATCATTATCAATCTAAGTTTGCTTCCATGAATCGTTTTTAGAGCTTGTTACTGTACATTTCACCATAGTAACTAAAAATTCAAGTAAATACCAACGAGAGAAACAATTGGCACACCTGTCCTTTAATGACTAGAGTATCTCTTGCAATTTCGAGACTGTTCATACCCATGCTTACTGTTCATTTTGCTAACGCACATGTATAGCACTTGTTTAAGATTGTTAGATTAAAAGTGGCATTAAGTAGCCCTGTAATTTCCTTGTAAGATATAGTTTATTAATTTATTTTTATTCTTTTATTATTAAGTTATATGATTGCAACATACAAATGTAGCCATTATTTTCAGATGAATTGGACAGCTACATGTACCAAACTGTTGGTCATCAGGGGATTGACTTATATGCTGAAGCAATGGGACTGCCGTTGTATAGAGATGTAATCTCTGGTGTAGCTGTTGACCAGTGTAGGAATTATAAACCTACAGAGAATGATGAGGTTGAAGATCTCTTCAGACTCCTTTCAAGAATAAAGGTAAAGATTTTCTTTACAATTAATTCTAATATGTGTATATATTTTTACATCTCATGAGTAATTACGTCCTACATGGATGAAATTACCAATCATGTTGCGTCCAACCGACTTGTTGTGTCCAGTATATGGAGGCAAGATTGACCCACCCTGATAATCAGCCAACAGACTTCATATTATCGGTAAACTATCTGGGCAAAAATTGGCATGGACGTTATTTCATCATTGCATTGAATTTCGGCGAATATTTTAGTTCAGTGACTTGCTGCACAACATTTGTAGGTTGCTACTTCTCGGCGTATATTGGCACTGTGTATATTCCACTCTTTTCTCTATCTTTTACTCCGCGTATCTTGCTACCATATATTGTAAAGATTTTTAAAGTTTTTATCAACTCAAATCGATGATTTAACTACTTCCACAAAGTGAAGTAAATATGAAAGGGGGCGGGAGGCTCTTACGATTCGCGCTCGGGCACGTGGTGAATATTTGTTTATTAGCTAATGGTCGCTGATCGGTCAATCGGAGTCCGTTTGGAGCAGGCGCTCCTTAATCCTAAAAGTGAAGTGAGAATTTTGAGATCATCTTGTTTTTTCTTAACATTTGTTTGATTTGTAGAATTACTGATTGTACTGATTTTATTAAAAAAAATAAACAAAAATAATATATGATTAATACTATTTTTATTTAATTTTTTCATAATATGTTGTCACACATGAGTAGGTCCTATAAGAACAAAAATAATAGAAAACATTTATCTTGTAACTCCTCAAGCTCTTCCTCAGATTCAAGCTACCTGAAATCTTGATGAAATAGAGAAATAGCTTGTATGTAACCAAGGTAGGCCCAATGTCGCGTATTGGGAGCAGGGAGACGTGCAGAGAGCCAAACTTAAAAGCATTTTTAACAGTGGTGGAGCCACGCGACAGCTTCAGCTGTCGCACGGATAGGCCGACTCGAATTGGGGTGGTACATGACCTTATAGACTACCAGCGTGAAGTAGAAGTTTACTTCTGCATTTCACCTGGTAAGCACCAGTGGACGGAGGCCTAATTCCCTCACCCCCTTAACATGGTAGCGTAGTTAAATAAAATACTACCCCAGGACCTTTGGTGATGGAGATCCCTCACTGAGCATCCACTGTTTTCAACGCCTCGGCAGTCTTGAAGGCATGAACCTGTCCATCCTATGGCTGCGAGTATACCGCGACAAACATCTCCGCTTCTACGGGTATCTCTATTGTTTGCATATAAGTAATGCCTACACAGACCGACTGATCGACCACGTCCAAATGCTACAGAAGCTGTGCTGCAACAAGTCCATTCTGGTGAGATCTTGATCCTGGGTAATTTTAATGCCCACCACTTGATTGGTTCCCGTTTAACCAATCATAGATGTCTTTATGACTTTGCCTTGGCATATGGTCTCACAAATCTGGTTACTTCGCCTACGCGTATCCCAAATGGGGAGGATCATACACCTTCCTTGTTACACCTTCTGTTGACCTTCATCCGGACGGATATGGGTGTCTGTGATGCTCCTCTTGGCTCTTCGGACCATTGTCTGATCCAAAGGACGGTGCCACTCATGCCACCTCGCGATTGCGTTCTGCGGATTGCCGCTGTGTTAAGCACTATAGGTTGGCCGATTGGGAAAGGATGCGGTCTTTTTTGCATCCTACCCTTGGGGTTGGGTATGCTTTTCGCCGGATGCAATTTTATAGGAGTGACCTGGCCCTGGGGTGACGCATCTACATCTCTGGATGCAAACACAAGCGTTCTTAAAAAGAAGTATAATTCCGCCTCCAGGTCCTTCAAAAGTGTCATTGGCAAATCAAAGTCAGAGCATGCGCTCTGACTTTCATTTGCCAATGACAGTATTGGCGAGAAACTAGTTCGACTTCCTTCTGGAACACGTGCATTCTGGTCTCTCGCCAAGGCCGTCCAAGGGAACTTTTGTCAGCCATCTCTATCATCTCTGCACAAGGAGGACGGCTCACTGGATCATACCGCAAAGAAGAAAGCCAATCTGCCAAGATCTCTCTTTGAAAGAAATAAAGACTCTCCTTCTCCTCTCCTTGTACCTTCACAAGTCGCGTGGGCCTGATAGTCACTCCTGTTGTGCTGAAGACGTGTGCTTCGGAGTTGAAACCGGTTTTAACGCGTCTTTCCCGTTACTCCTATTCCCTAGACTTCGTACTGAATTCATGGAAGATAGCCAACATCTCTTTGTCCTCCAAAATAATGGAATCCATTATAACCTGCCAGCTCATGAGGTATCTTGAGGCTTTAGCCAGTAGAGTCCAAGGGGGAGGAGTTGATCGTTAGTTTGGACATTGCGAAGGCTTTCAATCGGGTTTAGCACACAACGCTTCTTTAGAAGCTCCCTTCCTATGGGCTTCACGAGAAATTGTGCAATTGGATCACCAGCTTTCTTGTAGATCGGAGCATCAAGGTCGTAGTAGACAGTGCATGCTCCGATTACGAGGGTGACACTGAAAGTTCTTAGAAAATCAAAAACTGAACAAACTAGCAAGTTGTTAGTTTTATTATATCTTTTCAAAATAGTGTCAATACATCGCTGCATCAGATGGAACCACCACCACTCCATCACCACTTTGCGCACTCGTCCTTAGGGGTTTCTTCGACGGCATTTTGCAACGCAGCCATTGCTTCCTCGGCGTTCATAAAACGTTTTCCTCGAAGGTTATCTTTTATTTTCGGAAGTAAATAAAAATCAAAAGGTGCGAGGTCAGGGTTATAAGGCGGGTGACCCAGTAATTCCACATATAACGTAGCCAAGTAGTCGATTGTTTAATTGGCGGTGAGCGGCGAGGCGTTGTCGTGGTGAAGGAGGATCGTAATCCGAGTCGTTTCTCCCGAACTTTTTCCAAGACAAGTGGCAAACAACTGTTAGTGTATCACTCTGCAGTAACTGTTTTTCGATCCTCTAAAATAATTGTTGACCTATCTTTCCGAAGAACGAGGCCACCATCTTCTTTCCTACGCTTCTACCTCTCTTCACTTTAGTTGGCAACTGTCTCTTCGTTTCAGGATCATAATAATAAATCCAGCTTTCGTCACCCGTAAGTATGCCGAACACAGCATTTGAGTCACCTCCATTAAATCTTTGAACTATTTCACGACACCAATCAACACGACGGAGTTTTTGGGCCTTTGTCAAATTATGAGGTATCCACCGGGCACAAAGCTTCCTGACCGCTAAATGTTCAAGGAGGATTTCATACGCCGCACAACACTGATGTTATCTTCAGTCGTCGCCGTAGAAGGTCTTCCCTCACGAAAATCATCGGTGAGATTAGTGCGACCACGTAACTCATTAAACCAGTTCTAAACAGCGGCACTAGATGGGGCTTCATCGTGAAAGGCCAATCGAAAAAGTCTATCATAACTTTCATGTTGACTTAAATGACATCGAAAGTCATAAAAAATCATTGTACGAAAATTTTCTCGCGTTAAATTCATGCTGACGTGATACAGACAATTTTCAATTTGCCGCCAAATCGTAAACAAATGACAAATTAATAAAATACATCAATCGTTTACAAGTGGCCAGTTCTAAAAACTCAGTGTCGCCCTCGTACAAGCGTATTAACACTGGTGTTCCACAAGGCTGTAAGCTATCACCAACGCCATTACTTCTGCACATCAATGATATGTTGCAAACCGGTAACATTGATTGCTATTCGGACGAAAGCACTGGTCACGCTTTATACACCGGCCGTCCCAATATTTCTCAGAAAAACGTCGCCAAGTACCAAAACAAAATTGTGTCTAAAGTTGAGAATTCGTTGAACAAAGTCTTGGATTGGGAGCGACTAAATTTAGTCCAGTTCAATCCCCAGAAGACACAAGTTTGCGTGTTTACCACTAAAAAGAACCCCTTTGTCTTATCTCCTCAGATTCAGGGCACTCCCCTTGTTGTCTCAGCCAGTATCCGAATCCTCGGCGTCGACATATCGAATAACTGCAGGGAAGAGAAGGCCAATATGGCCTCTCTTCTTCTCTTCAAAAAGCTTGGTGTGCTCAGCAGAGCGTGACAGCATTTCATGTCGGCCCACTGCCTGCAACTTTACTAGGTGCAGATTCGGCCTCACATGGAATACTGTCCCCATCTCTGGGTCGGGGCTCCCCATTACAAGCTCCTTCTATTTGATCGTATCCAGCGCAGAGTGGTTTGAATTGTCAGTGACCGAGCTCTTTTTGATCGCCTTGACTCATTGCCACTGCGAAGAGATGTTGTATGTTTTAGCCAATTTTTTCGCATCTTCCATGGGTTAGTGTGTGTGTAAGTGTAAGTGTTATGAGGAATTGTTCGGACTTATTGCAGCCGCTCAATTCACCACCGCACATCGCGACAGAACTCGCGATACCATCCATCGCTGTGCGACCTTCAAGAAGTGTTTTTTTCTTCCCCGCTTAACTTCCTTGTGAAATCGACTACCACTAACGATTTTTCCTAACCGATACAGCTTAGAGACCTTCAAGAAAAGAGCCTTCTCTTTTATTAAAAAGCCGGTAACGCACCTGGGATTCCCTTAGCGTTGCAGAAGTTCACGGGCAGCAGTTGAAACTTACCATCAGGCGAGTCGCATGTTCCTTTGCCCACTCTTCTATAAAAAAGATAAAAAAGATTTTTTTGCAAGGAATTTTACTCTCGACAACTCATCAAGTATAACAGTTGCACCACTAAACTTCTATGATTTCAAACGAGATAGGGAAAATTTCAAGGTCAACGCATTAAGTGAGCAAAACAATTAAAACATTTACGGAATATACAGTGTGCCACATCATTTCCGTCACGAACGGACGTATGAAGTGAGCAAATCATACAAACCATATATGGAATATACAGAGTGCCACATAGTGCCTGATGGGCGGAGGCAGTAGAGTCCAAGGGGGAGGCGTTGGCCCTTAGTTTGGACATTGCGAAGGCCTTCGATCGGATTTGGCACAAAGCGCTTCTTTCGAAGCTTCCTTCCT